GTGATATAGGTACTTACAGCAAAAAGCCTACTTATGGTGTCGAGGAGTCCGCGATGCTTTAAATCGACCATGAGCCAAAATGGGACAATAAATGGGCTCTGGTAATAAGTGCCTGGACGGCAGCCTTTAAAACTCCCTGAAAAAGTTGCCGAAGTCTGAGGTCGAGGGTAAGGGTCCGTAAGTATATAATGGTGCTAGTGATAGCCTGCATTGAGAACTGCGAAGGTGGGAGGTAGTGACACACTAGAGGCTGGATGCCACTAACTCCAGGAACAGTGTGGACAAGGAAAAACAAACCGCTGGACTTGTTCATAACATATGACAGGCAATTGCGTTGCGGCTGGACAGAGCATTCGTGGCAAATAATAGCTGGTTTGGTTGTTTAACTGTTGCTGTGATTGCTGGAACGTGCCCGGTGGGAAGCATTTTCGTGTTTTTGGACCGTATTTCAGTGATACCAGCATAGTTTACGAAGGCCGATCGCGTGACTGAGAACGGCGATGTCGATTTGGTTTGTCCTAGTTAGAATGAAGACTACTTATGACGAAACACATCGTGCTGAAGAGGAAGAAGAGGGGGCAAGTGCAGGGACCAAACAGCATTTGTGCTGACGTTTCGAAAACATGCTCGTTCTCATCGTCAGAGCATGGTGCTTACTCTTCCGCTGGCCTTGAATTAATGCGCCTCGCCGCGAGCCGGGTGTTGTACCCATTTGCTATGCCCGTACGTCCCTCCCCCGTTGGCTGTTGGTTGGCGCCATCCTCTCCACTTTCAATGGCGCTGCGTTTGCGTGTTCCTCTCCCTTCCCGCGTTCAGAGCACTCGTATTCTCGCGTGCGCCTTCGTCGGCCTTCCCCCCCCTTCGGAGCCTTGAGGTCAGCACAAATACAGACTGGATAATATGTAGGCTAAGTGCGGAAATTCGCGACTAATGTACAAATACATACGTATAAAAAGGACGGAAACGGAAAGCAACAATGGAAAATAGTGATGCAGACTCACCAAAATAGAGCCCCCTCTGGCAGTATATTCAAACTGTCCGGGAAAGATTCGGAAGTTTGTCCGGCAGTAATGCGACGGAAAGGTGCGAATCGACGGTCGATATTAGTTAAAAGTAGTTAAGGCAGATTAGCTGAATTAATGAAGACTCGGCAACATCCAACATCGATAACAGAAGAAACATTATTTAAAGTAGAAGTAAGCGGTTGTGTGTATTTTTTAAGAACATTAAAAAAGGATATTAAGGAATTCAGGTAGAAAAATATAATAGTGGAAGGTGAAATGTAACAAAGACCTACAAGCTAAACAAATACGTTCTTCCCACCATTTTTAGAATGTGTACGAATATAAGCAAATATAAATAAATGTTAATATGACAGTTTCTAACTTAACTGCTCAGGTTTTCTTCCTGAAGCCAGCAAAGTAGCTATTAGTATATAACTGCAGGCCTCACTATGTGAAAGCTTTCTGGCATTAACGCCACGTTATAGTTAAATCTCCACAAGCTGACGCGAGACATTTGCGTTCATACCGATGGAGGCAATTCCTGCACTGCACAACACTTCGGTCTGCGGTTGGGATACTTTCTTAATGTGCACGAAACGGACCCTTTTATCAAACATAGGAAAGTTGTTATGAGATTTGAAGAAGTTGGCACAACGAGGAATAGTATCAGATAGCACATAATCTGTTCAACGGGTGACAGTTCGAATAAGCAGCTTACCTAGAAACCCCGAAATTCAAAACTACTTCTGTAGCCATTACCTCTTTATTGATGGGTAAGTTCATCCTTGAGGCACCCTTCCGACTATGCCACTATTCGTATGACAGAAGTCACACATTTACAGGCACGAACGCTTAGGGGTCCGAAAATTGTTTGTATGTGTGGTCAGCTGTTGCATCTGTGCGCCGTTTAAATACTGTCAGCTCTCTTTACGCTGGGCAGTTTTGAAGAATTTTTCGAAATTCTTCTGATTAGAACAGGATGAATTCAACCGATATTAACTTTCCTGTTCCAAAAGTTAACGACGTCTGTACTAATGGAAGTGTCCTAATATCAGAAAAATCGAACGGATTACCTCCAAAGCCGACGAGTGCGCGGGATGTGGAGATGGTCAGACTCATAGGACAGTATCTATGCGATAAAGGATATAGGTTTTTCATATAAAATTTCACCTAAAAATCGATTCAGTTCGTCCTATATGCAGTTGGCAAAAGATTCTGGGATTACATTAGAGCCGCAGGCGGCTACTGAATTACGGTCCGCCATTCTTGCAGGAAAATGGGATGATGTAAGTCCTACTTTGCTTGATTTTCCTAGCCCCCGAGAGTTAAAAATTGACCACGAAAGTCTGCAAAGAGTCCGGTCGTTTTCCTGATTGTGCACGAGAGCCTAGTCTTACCTACATCGCTTATTAAACGGGACACTTGAAAGCCAGATATTTAACTACAATTTTTGATTTCGTCAAAGCCTTTCGCTTGACCAATTTCCCGAAAAGGTTTTAGTGTTGGTTTTCTGTCCAGGAAAAATTTCTGTCCCCTAAAGTTTAGTGTCTTCCACCGCTTCATTCAGGTATTTGACGGCAACAAATTCAGGCACTATCCAGGTCGCAAGTGTTTTGAATATGGCTCGACGCTTTACTTCGACTTCTAAAATGCAGCACCTTTTTGCCGTCTGCCTATTCAGCAAACCAACGTCACTTGCTCAGTTTTTATCGTTTGTGAATATATGCGACTGCGGTCTATAGGACGCCCTGCTACAGTGCAACACTGCATGTTTCATTCACTGTGCGTGTGAAAAAATAATCGGATTAGTGTCATTACATATCTTGGTTACGTGTTCATGAACTAGGAGTTCGAGAATAACTATGCTTGCTCCTCAGTTATATTCTCACACCTCTCCAGATATCTTCTTGTGCTCTTATCGAAGAAATAACTGTAATGTTGAATCTTTGAAATTTTAGCGTTTCCTGTTCGTACTTATGACGGTATTCATAATTATTTATTTAATCGGCTCCATCTTTAACGATGACCTACCAGTGTGGTCGAGTTGGAGTCAAGTAGCTCGCCAGTACTGAACACTGTTAGACCAAAGGTACTTTAGATACCAAAGTTTGTTGCGTTTACTCATTCCCTTGCCCACTTCAATGCTGTAGGTAACCGGAGACTTTTAAAATCTCAGACCGGCGGAGTATATGGCGTAAACTTTTGCAACTGGTGGGTAGGCAGAACGCAGTTGATAAGTTGAGTTACTGGCCGCCTCTGTGGCTACAATCGGAGGATGGTGTTCAGCCTATGAGAGGAGAGTATGATAAATCGATTTCTTCCGCGCGATTTATATCTCTGAAGTCAGCAGTTCATATTTTACGTATGTACAGGGTTGTCTTGGCAGAGGCCTCGTCCAACTACATCTTAGTCTTCACTGATGCAACGCCAATTCTAGAGCTTTAGACAAACGCAAACAAGGACCGCGCTGTCGGTTTATCCAATAGCGGACTTCGCCTTTCTGACCCA